ATCACCGCATAACCATCTGCCAGGTGGGACTCCGACTTCTGGAAGGAACTATGTAGCTCCCACCAAATACAGATGACTGCAAAGCTTGGCATCCGTTCAAGGGGGCGGCCATAATTCTGATGAAAGGTCTGGGCCTAGAGATCCATTTGGAAAGGTTTGGAATTAAGATGATTTAGCCTAAAGAGAAGATTACTAAAGCATGGGTCCCACACTGGTGGCTTGAAGTCTTATTTTGTTTGGCCCAGACGGCATGTTTTCTGTGTTGGTTTGTTTATTTAGTATTTGAATTAATTGCTGAACTCTGAACTACTGGAAGATTGCACAACCAAAATCTTAACTGCCCTCATTTCTACATGTGAGAGTAAGCTAGAGATGATGGGCGGGTCCTTTGTGAATGGGGCATGCCCTCTCTGGCTGTATCCAGTGCCCCCCCCCACCGCACGTGACTGCTTCCTTGCCCTGCAAATACTAGTTACCATCTCGCCTTACACAGCTGTTTCTCTGGGATGAAAAGGCTGTTTCCACGAGGCTCTTCCTAGGAGGAAAAGGAACTTGGTTTGAGAAGGCAGCGTTCCTTATTCAGTGATGTTCCCACCTGGCCCTGAGGATATTTGACCTTGTGACCCTGGGTAAAAAGGTGAGGTAATGTTCATCAGAGGGTAATGTCCCACTCAACTGACTTTCAAATTGGAATTGAGATCCTAATCCAAACACAGTGATTTTTACTTTTAAATTACTTTTACCTTATCTCTTGCAGTAATGGCTCAGTGCTTTTAAGCCTGGACACTGCAGGTAGAATGCCTGGGTTCACATTTCCACTCTACTCCTTATAATAATGTGTCCTTAAGCAAGTTACTTACTTTCTCCAGGCCTCAGTTTCCTCATTTGTAAAAGGAGGATAAAGATGATACCTATCTTAGATCACAGAGTTGTCATAGGGATTCCATGAGTCAGTATGTGGGATGCACTGGAAACAGGGCCTGGTGCTTGTAAGGTACCACAGAAGGATTAGCTGTTGCAGTAATGACTCACTTTCTGATGGTGCTGATTTATAATTTAGTCTGTGTGGCTTCCATCACCTCCTGGATTATAACTCATCCTGGTGTGTCAGCAGCCTTAGGTAAGTAGGCCATGGGGCCCAGGCCAAAGTTCACAATAGCTTGCACCTGGTAAGGTGTAAATGTAGGCATGCACCAGTTATGTAAGCCTTATGAACAAAGCAGTAAAGGTACGCATGCACTAGTAGCATTATGTAAGCAGTATGAACAAAGAAATGAACAATGCACATGTGCGAGCAAAATAAATAAAAGCAGGACAAGTGTGCCATGCGGGCGGCACCATCTTGTTGAACTAGAAGAAAGTGCTGAGCGCCGGCACGCCACCACCCGCCGCTTGCGCGCCACCCGTTTGTGCTGCAATAAAGTGCTGTTTCTCTCCATGTCGGCTCCTTGCGCAGTCTGTTTCCCAGCATGTCAGCTCCTTGCGCATTTTTCAGTTTGGGCAGCTCACCTCGTCGAATCCCCCTTCAGCCCCCCTCAGCTGACACGGTGTCTGGCCTGCACCCATACCTACCTCTTTGGGGTTGCACAGGCTCTAGAGTTTGGCAGTGTATTTGCATGTTGAACTCAGTAAATGATACAGTGAATAAAACACACTCAGAGATGACAGGGACCTGAGAGATCATCTAGTGCAGGAGTTGGCAGACTCTTTCTGTAGAAGGCCAGACTGTAAATATTTTGGCTTTGTGGCCATATGGTTTCTGTGGCAACTACTCAGCTCTGCTGTTGCGGCACCCCAGGTGTGGGGTGAATGGGTGTGGCTGTGTTCCAGTAACACAGCATTTATGGACAGTGAAATTTTAAATTGCATTTAATTTTCACATATCATGAAACATTCTTCTTCTTTTGATTGTTCTTCAACCATTTAAAAATGTAAAAACCAGTCTTAGCTCATGGGCCATAAAAAACAGGTGGAAGGCTGAGTTTGGCTGACCCCTGATCTAGTCCCAAGTCCTTTCACCCAGGAATTCCACCTGGGAATTTTTTGTTGAACTAGGAAGCTACCTGGGTCCCATTCCAAACCCACTAATGAAACTCTCTGGGCGGTGAGCAGTGGAATCTTTACTGTGAACATGTGTGTGATCCCCACTGGTCAGGCTCTAGGACCACATTTGAGAAACTACCCAAGGCCTTCCGGTGAGGACTGAGACTCAGGATCTTATGTACAGATCTAGAAATGACCTCTAAAGGTTGACTGCAACAAGCACCTCATTGCAAAAGTGAACGGTATAAGTCATGACCTAAATTATTTAAATTTATTCCTTACATTTTTTTTATGTTGATTTTCAAAATCCCGTGTCCACAAAGGTCATTATTTCCTTTTACTGTCTCGGAGGGATGTGATATCATCTTGGAATTACCCTAAAATAACTGCACATTAGAGAAATCTCATTTCATGTTTTTGTCAGTGTAAGAACATGTAAAAATTTATTGACATGTTCTTGTTGGTGACAAAAAAAATCTGAAAAGAAACTTAAATGGTCTGGTGAATAAAATCTGGTGTTGCTTACTTAAAATTTTACGCCACTATGTAAAGAATGTGTTTGAGCTACATGTACTGTCCTGGAGGAGGGATGTTAATCACACCAGTAATGAAGGAAGGAAGAAAGGGAAGAAAGGAAGAACAAAAGAAGGGAAGAAACGAAAGAAGGAAGGAAGAAAGGGGGCAGGGTAAGGCAGGGCAAGGCGAAGACTAATGTGTACAATATTCCACTTTCACTAAAAATTCAAGTACACTGATGATATTAGTTACCTCAGGCAGATAAAAGACTAGAGGGGGACGTGGTGAAAGAAAGATTATTAACTTTTCCTTTAAACATATGTTTATTGTTTAACTTTTTATAGGAATAATTTTTAAATAGAAAAAAATTTAAATGCATATTGGAAACAAAAACTGTAATAACTTTCATGGTCTGGTTATTTAGGATGGGAATCCATTTCTCTGGTAAGGAGAAATCTGCTTCTGAGACTCACCAACTTGGGCAAAGTGGAAAAATTTAATTTTTAATGTGAATCTGGCTGTGAAATCCCACAATTATCACCTTCATTTCCTAACTCTAGCCAACAGTTCAGGAGAATCTTTGACGTGAAATTCCCTGATATAAATCTCATCTAAAGTCTGGTAGAACCTTGACTTTGAACAAACCCCTGCTTCGACTAAACAAGTCCGAAAGAGGCAATCCATTCTACTTTCTGGTCTTTATTTTTAATACAGAGTATAATTTTAACAGGCGGCCTAAGGTTTGTTCCATTACAGAAAGTTTCTTAGAAAAGTAATCTGTCTAAGTAATTGCTACTTACACAACTCCTGGTAGACTTCCACTTTACCTTGGTATTTTTTTCAGCAGCAGATTTCTTAAGAATTGTGAAGCGCACTGTTACCAAATGCTCGTCTAAATTACTCTGTCTCATTTGGGCACAACTGTCATTTCCATATAATTACATTTGAGCATTAGATAGCTGATGCTTTCTGAAGTAAAGAGAGAAAAATAGATGAATTGGATAAATCTATGAAGTAGTTCCAAGTTAAATATATACTCAAGTTCAAAGTGAAAGCCACACACTAATAAATGCACAAGCAGAGATTTAAGGCAGGTCTGTATAGGTATTTAACAAACATTTGTGTAGCACAGTGCCAGGCACTGTTTCAGGTAGTTGATAAACGCATCAAATCCTCATAATAACTCAGAGGTAGAGACTTTGTCTGTACCATTCACAGGTGAGTTCACTCACCCAGAGGGAGGTAAAGTGAATGACAGAGCTGGAATTCAAAGCTAAGGGGTCAGACTCCAGAGGCCATGCACTGAAGCACCCTACTGGATGGTCTGTTCTGTCCCAAAGGCCTTGCTGCCCTCCGCCCTAGTCTGCTTAGCAAGGTGGACACACTCATGAGGACAGACATGGAATGAGCTGAGTGCTGGACTCAGTAGCAGTGACTGTGTAGCGCTTGGAACTCTTGTCATATTAAATGACTGAAAATCCAACCCAGTGCCTTCAGGGAAAACAGAAGAGAGGGAATTTATTGTGTCATGCTGCGGACTGAATGTTGTCTCCTCCCCAAAGCTCGTACGTTGAAGCCCTGACCCCCGCAGTGTGACCATATTTGCAAAGAGAGCCTATAATGAGAGAATTAAGGTTAAAGAGGTCATAGAGGTAGAGCTCTGATGTGGTAGGATTAGTGACCTTTGAATAAGACACCAGAGATCTTTCTCTCCTTCCCATCTCCCCCACTCTTCTTCTCCTCCTTCACTTTTTTTTTCTCCTTCTCTCTCTTCCTCTCTCTCACACACAAGAGCATAGAGGCTGCCTGTAAACCAAGAAAAGAGGTCTTCGAGTGAAATCTACTTTGCTCATACCTAGTTCGTGGACTTCCCAGCCTCCATAACTGTAAGAAATACGTTTATATTGCTTAAGTCCCCCGGTGTATGGTATTTTGTTATGGCAGCTCCAGCAGACTAAGACACACTGTGGCTCTGAAAAGTCCTAGGGCCAATCCAGTTCAGACACAGGTGGATTCAGGGTCTCAAGTAATGCCACACGATCCTCGCTCTAGCGCTCTTGCTCTCTCACTCACTCTGTCCCTTTCACCCACTCTTGTTCTACTTTCCTCTGAATTGACTTTGCACTCAGCTCAGCATCCTGTAGGTGCCCCTGCTCCCCAGGCTAACCTAGTGATTCTAGTGCCTGAGCCTAGTGAAATCCCAGGGAAAGAATGCATCTCTTCACCCACAGTTCTAATAAGAGTTGCATCTCAGCCTTACTGAGCTAGTTTGGGTTGGTTACCTATCCCTGAACCGATCACCATGAATTGACTAAGCCTGGGTTACTTATCTCCCCCTAGAGCAGGCCGCCTGGGGTCAGCCCCTTTTGAGCTATTGGCTGTCAGTGGAGGAGCGTGGTTCCCCAGAAGGAAATCAAGATGGCTGCACCGGGAGAGAGAGGGATACCAGGCCAGCAATGCCAGTAAGTCCGTCACAGTGTTACTGACCTTCTCCTAGACCACTAACCCCCAGAGGCTGTGCATTGAAGTGACTTGGGAACAGTGTAAGAGTGAGATGCTAGAGGCTTACCCTCGGAGGTTCTGATTAGGCGCTTTGTTCAGAAGTCTACCAAGGTTGCAGGGACCCAGGGACTCCAGTCTGAGATGCTTTTCTTTTTCATTTTGTAACTTAGTTCTGAGATTCAGGTTTTTCAGGTGCAAGTTACTAGAAACTAACAAAAATGTGACATGTGATTAAATATGTATTTGGTCTCCTCCGCGTTTCTGGCACAGAGCCCCTGAAAATCTTGAATTTCCTAGTGATAAGAGTGATGTTTGTCTTAACATTCCTAACAACCACCTTTCAACCACACCTGAGTTTACATTAGTAAGGGCACTTTTGTCAGCACTTAAATGGTGCTTCTTGCCAGGGGAACTGGCTCTGTGATTAGAGGGTTGGAATTTTTAATCTACCCCACCTCTGGAGAGAGGAGCTGGGTTGGAGGTTGAATCAATCACCAGTGGCCAATGATTCAATTAATCATGCAACTATAATAAAGCCATCATAAAAACCGAAAAGGACGGGATTCAGAGAGCTTCCGGGTTCGTGAACACTTGGAGGTTTGGGGAAAGTGGTGCACTGGGAGAGGACATGGAAGCTCTATGACACTTCCCTGTACCTTGCCTTCCACTCTCTTCTGTCTGACTGTTCCTGAATTATACCCTTTATAATAAACAGGTAATCTAACGAGTAAATTGTTTCCCTGAGTTCTGTGAGTTGCTCTAGCAAATTAATTGAACCCAGCCAGGGGGTGTTGTTGGAACCTCCAATCTATAGCTGGTTGCTCAGAAGCACAGGTAACAACGGGGGCTTGTGATTGGCATCTGCTGTGGGAAGGGCATCTTGTGAGATTGAGCCCTTAATCTGTGGGCGCTGGTGCTATTCTCTAGGGAGTGTCAGAACTGAGTTGAACTGTAGGACTCGCAGCTGATGTTGGAGAATTGTTTGTTGGTAGTGTGGAAACACCTGTGCACACACATTAGCACTGGTGACTAGGAGTTTTAGGGACTCCCAACTCAGCTACTTTTGAATATTTGTGTCAAATACTCCTAAGATGTAGCTATGTACCAAAAATGACATTCCTTTCCCTAAAAACTGTCAAGTGAAAGAAATAAATTTGTCCTTTGAGAAACAAATTATAAGCTACACAGTCAATGGATTAGAGCATAAATATGCAAAGCAAACTAAAGGAGCCAGGATGGAGCTTAAGTCCAGCAGGACAGCAAGCATGCAATGCATTCTTTTTATTTTATTTGTGTGACAACATGTATATGTGGGGCTGAAAATGCTCACTTCCGATAGGATAAGAACTACTGTGTAGTTGTATAACATCCACCTGCAACTTTCTCCTCCAAGTATTGATCACTGCTAAATTTGCTCATTTTAACTGCCACTGATATCATATTTCTTTATTTCTGGGTTTTGTTTTGTTGCCTGCGTGAGAAATAAACATGGGAACAAAATCTAAACGAAACTGACAGCAGAGTAAGAAAGAGGAAAGAATACAGAGTGTGAGAAGGCTTTGAGGCCCCTTTCTGCTGAATTTCCTAGCTGAAGAAGCAGCCTGGACATTCAGAACAAAACAAAACAAAACGAAATTGAATCTCATTTGGGATAGCAGTTGTTCCGTTTGCAGGAGTGCCTACATATGTATGAATGTGTGTATTCACAGAGGTGTTAAATCTTGCTCTGAAATTGTTGGGGAAAGAAATGGAAATAAGCATTTAAGTAGCAATGGGGAAAGAGTTGGCAATATTCTCTCAGCTGTAAGCAACAGTAAATAGTTCTGGCCTGACATTTAAGCAGAAATGGAGTTTGTTAAATGAGTAAAGTTTAGCTCATAGAAGCACTGTAAAGCCAGAAAACCAGGCTTAGAATGTGGGCAGAAACAAGGTCAGAACTGAGCCAAAATCCTGCTACAAGCCAGTGCGATGAGATCACCACTGCTGCCTGCATGGGAATTGGATCGTGCAGTTGGCTGGCTCAGCCCTGCACACTGGGTGTCTTTGCCACATGCGTTTCATGGCTTGTTTTTTTGTTTTTTAACTGAAGTATAGTCAATTTACAATATTGTTAATTTCTAGTGTACTTATAGCCTGTTATACACATAGTCTAAACAGTGACTTCATGAACAGCGACTCCCTTATATAAAGTTAATTGTAACCCAGTTGTATTTAAATTATCTTAAAAATATGCATTTTATCAACATCTACTAAAAATGAAAATGGTTACATTTTACAACCCAGGTATGTTCATTGGAAAATAATTATCCTTCTCAATTTTTTAAAATCAGTGTCTTAAGTGCACATTTATAGGATGCTTATAACCTATCACATGGCCAAAGCTGGGAGAGAGAAAAAATAATTTCTAAAAAACCAGTCTGAATCAGAAAAGAGATTCCAGATACTTGCAGAAGCCTGGAAAACTAGGGTAAAATTGATAGAATGGAGTATAACAAGGGCACTTTTTTTCCCCTTCACTTTTTAAAAACCAACTGTATGAGTACAGAATAAAGAGGACCTGACTTGTCGGGATATTTCCTATGCAAATACCTGGAGAAGTTTGAGTTGCCCACGAACCTAATATGCATGTTATATGATGGCGGAAGTAACTCTGCCATTAGGTTACATCCAGGACCAGTCTTCAAGGCAGGAGGAGGGAAACTGACCAACAGGAAAACCTGCAGAGGAGGGAGATCAAGACAAGGATGCTACGTTGTATGCAAAAGAGTTGAAGAAAACAGTAACATTCAGGCTGAAAATAAAGAATAAGGGAAGATGTAACTGTCTTCCAATATGTGGAAGAGAGAAAAAAAAACCTTGAAACTACAAAATTTCAGCTAAACATGATCTGTATTCCTCGAGTGGATAACACATGAACAAACGGATAGAAATTACACGACTATGGATTTTGTTTTGCTGTAAGAACAAACTTTCTAACGTCTGTAGGTTTCTAATTGGCAGTTTAACCAGGTGGTGCGCTCCTTAATCCTGGAAGTCACGATGACTCTCCTATTATGCTATTGGGTGAAAGATTTCAAATATTTAAACTTTTCTTCTTAATCTTTTGAATTCAAAATGTTAACTTTTCAGATAAAACCGGTTTTCAGAGCAATAAAAAAAGAATACTAGTCGTTTGGTGAACATACTATATTTAAGGTTCTTTACCTAACTGATTGTAATCAAACCCCACAGATGTAATTACAGAATAACCTGCTTTTGTCCCTTTCCCTCCTTTTAGTCCTGCTGAGTGGGGCTGCCCCCTTCCCTGTTTGGATGCCATCTTGAGCCAGCCTATGACTTTACAAGTTAGATTTAGTTAAGAGTCCTACAGTCACTTCAAGTCACAAACACAACCTAGCTTATAATTTAAAACATCCATCATTGTGTTATAATCAAAAGTTTAAACTTGATTTAAAGTGAAAACTCTCCTACCTCCACGTCCACACGGGTCCGTCTGCCTTTGGTTGGCTACTTGGAGAGCAAGAAGGCTCATAGAAGGAGAAATTAGGGGCTGAGGAAACGTTTTCCCCATCAGGTACTTTGTAAGGTACTGCATGTCCTCTGGAGGTTGTGGGGGTGCGGGTTGGTGCTGACCTGTACTCTCACGGGACCCTTTCAGTCTCCCTCCGCTGCAACTCACGTATCTTGGGCTGGGCGCCTCCAGCCTGGCCTTCAGCCCTGCCCCAGCAAGGTAGTCCTGTGTACCCGCTGTCTCCTCTCCCAGTCAGACCGCGTACTCCAGTGGGATCCCTTGAACAACAGCCGCAGGCCGACATCACAGCCATAGTCTCCACAGCTTGTCTCCAGGGTCCCCGCCCCTTTAACTTGCCGGGGGTAGGTGCCGTTACTTCCCCGGGGAAGCTCCTGCTCTGTTGTCCTCAGCTGTTCTCTCTTTCTCAAGCCAAGGGGGTCCATGGGGCTCAGGAACACCCAGCACATTCTCTGAGAGGCTCCAGGGAATCCCCTCCTGCCAGGCCTGGCTTTGGGAGGCTGAACCACTGCACCCCTCTCCAGGGAGGCGAATGAGAATGCAGCTCTCACCTAAAAAAGTCTCCTGCCAAATCCTCTCCAAATCCCAGCCCGCCCTTCTGGCTTTTCCATTTTGGTGCTCTAAGTAAAGGACCCACAAGGAAAGGGCTCATAATCTTAATGGACCCAAGTATTTTCTTTATAGTCTTGTCTTTTGAAGGTCTCATATCTGATAGCTACCATACCTTGGTGCCCTGGTCAAAAATTTCAGTTGAACCTCCCAGTTTTCCTCAGTCGCCTCAACAAACCCATCTAAGCCTCAATTTCCACATTTTATGGGTAGGAAAAACTGAGGCCCAGAGAGATTAAATCATTTGTCCAGACCATGACCATACAGCTTGTAAACGGTGAGACTGGATATAAATCCGGAATCTGTTATCCACACATGCACCATCCTGTGTGGGTCAGCTGGTTTTGTTATAGAGACCAATCAGCCTAAGTATAATTTTCCTTGTGGGAGCAGGGGGACGAGGGTTGTTGCTGCTGAACAGTTGGAACCCAACATAAATTGCCAATCATCGTATTTCAGTCATTGGCTACTCAAAAGCTCTCCTTTGTGGACCAATATATCCTGATGCTTGCAGCCAGGGAGAGCTGCATGTATGTGCTATTCAGCCAATTTAGCTGTTGTGTCTGTATGACAAAGGATCACAATCAACATTTGTTGAGCATGCACTTTGTGCACTTACCTAGATTCTTGCATTCTTTCCTCGTAACACCAAGGTAGTAGTTTTCGCATTTTACAGGTGAAGAAAGAAGCCCAAGAAAATGCCCTGGGAGAAAACACTGAAGACAAAAGACCAGGCTTCTTGTTCCTATCCCAGCTCTTACTAGTACTCAGGGTTGGCTGGTCCAATTCCACAGCTCTTTAGGGCCATATTTCTCCTCATCT